GCAGGCACAAGACTTTTCAGGCTTTTCCCACTTTGGAAAACAGGGTGAGCTTCCCATGAGAGTCAAGATCAAAGGCAGGAGAGTGTTTCACAATGGACAAGAAAGTTTTTGTGTAGGAAAAACTGAGAATTATTGCTACAGAAGAGGAAAACAGGAGTTATACTATTGCCTCTTTAAAAAGTTTTAAACCTCCAAACTGCCTATATTAGCAATATCCAATAGATTAATCACTGTCATTCACAAACACTACGCCTTTAAACAGGATAATCTAAAATACCATTGTTTAATTTGAAAACTAGATCTGGAGGAAGATCAGGACTTAGATCCCTGGGCAGCACAGTTTCTCTTGCTGAGCATCTGCATTATTTCCTACCACCTCTGTATTTGTCCCCAACACTCAGCCTCAGTTTTCCTTACTCGGACTCTACACCTTAGTTTGCCAAGAACTCGGAGGGAATCACTGGAAACGTTCCCCTCCCTCAGCAGTGTTAACAATCTCAATCTCCAGCAGCCACTGGTTATTGTCAGACATCTATGCTTAAAGCACGATAACAAGTGTGGCATGGTCATACTTAGCTCACAGTGAGCTGGTGCTCTAGGTAGGTTTTTCCCAAATTTCATGGTCCAGAAGATGCTCTCCCCATACTTCAGGGATCTCTCATCTGTCTGCACTGGATTAGGCTGAAGAACTGTGACACTAGGTCCTCCCACACCAAGGAAAACTGTTTAGTTACTCCATTTTAACGCATTCCTGGATCACGTTGAAAACAGTTTAGTTACTCCATTTTAACGCATTCCTGGATCGCGTTGAAGCCTTGAATTAGCAGGAGATAAGTGCACTCCCTTTGCTGGAGAAAAGGTGCTTCCCTGTCCTCAGGACACAGTAACTTTCCTAAATCACCTGTTGCTCCTTGGGCCTTTTTGAGTAGAAGCAGGCCACAGCTGACAAATCTGCAGCTCACAGAAGCATTTGTTAGGAGCAATTGCCCTGATGCTATTGTGCTGCTGATTCAGGAAGGAGTTTTCCCCAGCTTATTCTTAAAGCATTTCACCCGACTGATGATTCAGTCTTTTTGCTTCAAGCATAAATCACCTTCCAGATAAAGTCTTGCTAGGAAGCTTTCATTGGTCCTAATTAAAGTGAAACTCTGTGAAGGGATAAACAATGGATCAGCAAGGAAAAACTGGGCTGAGATTTGTGAACTTGCATTCTCCCTGCCCTCCTAATTCCTCAATTTTTCACAGGAGGAGGAGTGAATATTTGCAAGGTAGATTACTTACTGCAAAGCTGAGCCTTTGATACTATTTTTCTCTAAATCTGTAGGCAGGCTGCATCTGGACCACATAGAAAGTCATCTCAGTCCTTTGGCAATGACAAAATAACCCTTCACAACAAGGCTCTTGCTTTGGAAAGACATGAGCCAAACCATCAAACTCAAGTCCAAGCTCCCTCTTTCCTGAACATCAGTTTATACCAAACCCTTCAGCTTGCCTGATGCCACCACAGACCGACTTTTCAGTCTCAAAGCTGCTTTCAGGACAGATCCAACTCTCTCCCTACGTTAAATTAATGCCCAACTGGTAAAGTACATCTCACCCTGTGACCGATCCCAGCCATCACCACTGCAAAGAAAAGAACAAACTCTTCTGAGCACCCCACAGCTAAGGTGGTAGCAGGAAAAGAGGAGCAATAACAAAGCCTTGTTGATGCAGGGCAACAAATCCATCAATCCATCACCATTTTCCAGAAGGAAATGAATGACCCATTAAGGAAACAGTCTGTAACCTCAACTTCCCTGTAATGGGTCTTGGTCCTAGACTGCCTGGCATCAAAGGGATTTCAGCCCTACAAATGGATCCCATGTGAGGCTCTCTGCTTCAACAGCAGGAAGAGAGAGGGTTTGCACAAGCGAGGCAACAAACCCATCCCAACCAAACCCAACATGTGGCAGCGGGCACACAAAGGGAGGGGTGAAGGAAGGGCTCTGTTAAACCTGAGGAACAGCAGCCTTCCGTGCTTTCTAGTTAGTTAGTGGGAGAAAAAGCACCAGCCTTTTTTCTTACTAATGCATAATCACAGCTTCCATAGACCGCACCTTGCCTCTCGGGGTCCCACAGCCTTTTGCTAATCTTAATTAAGCAACACATTGAAAGTAGGTTCATAGCTCAGCTCTGATGACTATCCTGCATCAGCGGAATGCTGGTTTCCTTGAGGAGACCAGAGGCTGGGGCTAGCAGGGAAACTAGCCTCACCATTGCAAAATTTTCCTGGCCAAAAACATTATCCCCAGCAGTGGAGAACTCAAGTGGTGAATCAAAGCTCCTGGAACAAGTGACAAACAAGTAATAACCTCTGACACTGTTGTCTGAGCCTAAATATGCTCGCTTACCTCCCAACCTCCACAAACCAAGGAGAGGGACCCTCACACACGCTCGTTTACCCCGCCATTCAAGTTCTGGATGCAAGAGGCAACATCCTCCAGCTTCTTCCCATATCAACCCACTATGGGTCCGGTAGGGCCCCAGCTGATTCAGGCAGCATTAAGGTGCGGCTGCTGGACTGACTGGTGCTGGAAGCATGGACTGGCTGCATTGCTCTTACCTTTGCACAGTCTGACAACCGCATGCACAAACACACACCATACTGCGTTGTCAGTCATTGCTGCAGTGTGGTTTGGGCTTTTGTTTCCTTTTTAAATTTGGTGAACTTAGAGTGGGCACAGAAGAAACCAAGACGAAAGCTAGGCGGCCAGAAAACAGCGGATGACTGAAGCTGTGAAAAAGTTAAGGGCTGCACAATAGTGGATCTTCTCCACCCACATCTTTTCTCAACTATCAACCTGCAAAAGCACAGCCAGCTCCTCAGCAAGCAGAGCAGCACAAGGAGGGGGTGACACAACGTGCAGGGCAGGGCCAAGGGAGAGCGGGCAGAGGTGGCTGCTGGCGCTAGTTACATGAACACCGTCTGCCCGGTGATCCTGTAGCACGACACGCTCCACTCACCCTCCACCCAACAAGCAGACTGTTCAGAGGCCCTCATATCTGTCAGAGATATGAACCCACCAAGCATTAAAACCTAACCTGGGGTCTCAGAAAAGGCTTGACATTATACAACAAATACCCAACTGCAACTCATTCAGGCATCTCTTTCCAATTAGATTAATGGGTATCTAGAATGCTACTATAATGGTTTCCAAAGCAACCTCCAAAATCAATACCCCAATAGTAAGGTTCTGGGTTTTGCATGTGGTACAAAGGCAGTTTTGGGAGAAGATGATCTAATACACCACATATTGATTAATCAATTCCAGCCGGGACGCTAATGGGCTTTTCTTAAAACAGTTGGCACTAGAAGGAAGGAGCAGGATTGCTGAAAACAGGTTGTGTGATGAAGTTTCAGGGTGAGGGGAGGGCATGCAGTGGGGAAATAGGCCCTTCTAGAGATTACTTTAAGTGGGCAGAGACTGGGAAGAAATGGAGGAACTGAGCAATGAATGAAGAAGGCAATAAATCAGATTTATTGGCTTCAAACACAGCAGAATTGTACCTTGCAATTTACTGTAGTTGATATTAATAATACTTTCCTGTTGCTACAGAAACCCTCACAGGAAGGTCTGTGAAAGAGCTTAGCAGGGGTCTAGAGTCTGTAATGAAGTAGACTGAACACTTTGTAGTCCTACTGGCCAGTGAAATGGTCTGGAGGCATTATTAATGTCTACCTTAGTTATTTTTCCACATTGGCACTTCTGGCTAAGACAGCGTGGGATAATTCAGATCATCCATGCATGGCTGTCAGATTGTCCTTCCTCCTACAGTCAATGGAAAGAAGCAGCCAGTGTAGCCATACGCTGCTAATCATCACCACTCACTCTCTCCTTCCTGTCCCTGTACTTGATAAAGTCCTTTATTACCACAGAAAATGGAAGTATAAAACAGCTGGACCATCCTCCATCACTTTACACCAACTGTAGAAACATGTGAAGATTTAAGCAAATCACAAAGCTGAGGAGAACAGGTCTGCAACAGATACACAGGTCCCTTACAGCTCCCGAAGAGCAGCTGTCACACTTGGCAAGGAAATATGATACAGATGATGGAAACCAGCTCTATTCCCAGCCTGTTAGCAAGGGTTAGGTGCTTGCCTCTCAAGACAGGACACCTCAAAAGGATAAGTATACATTACAGACACAAACAAGAGTGTTACACTGCCTGAAAGACAGCAGAGTCATTCAGTTGTTGCTAATTGGGTGAGGGTACCCTATTCTTTGTAAAATTCTAAGTAGTAAAACTGACCAAGAGGTTTTGACCTTGAGTGGCTGTGACAGTCATGGTCCTGGCTGTCAGGAGGCACAGCCAACCTAGCAAAGAAATTCAGCCTAGTGGATCTTCTCTGCAGCCAACAGAGCCACGCCAGGTGTAAAGGCGACTGATAGGGCTTTGTAAAATTCTATTGGAGTTGCCAAAACTAGTACCGGTGCTAAAATCCAGCTGATGCTGTTCATTGATGTAGGTTACAAGTTTGATCACAAAGGCTAGACCCAGTCAAGAGAGGAAACCTCTAGGTACCAAATATTAACAAGTCACTGCTTTTGCCACCCTATATTGTGCAATTTGGTAACTGATTTTCTATGGGACATCATGAGAACATGCTCCTACTCACCCACCCATCCTACAGCAGAGCACACCAGCAACTTGGAGCAACACACACCAATCCTTACACATGGCAGCACCACACTGACACAAGTCATCATGTTGCAGGTAGGCAAGTCTGCAGCCTCAAACCACCACAGGCCACAACAGTGGTTCAAAGGCTCTTGCAGGACCTGCAGAACAACCCTCGAGAAAGTAAAAACAATTCTCCTAAAAAGCAGCGTAAGGTGCTAATCAACAGGGGGAAAACACACAAACCAAATTATTTTTTTTTTCCAGAACAATATTTTCCAAACTAACATAGTGCATTACAGCACCCAAGAGTCCTACAGCCCCGTCAGCGAACTCACATTGTAGAGGATGTCTGTCCATCCCTCCATGGTGATGCACTGGAAGACGGTGAGCACAGCAAAGAGGATATTGTCAAAGTTAGTGATCCCGTAGTTGGGTCCTTGCCAGTACTCCCTGCAGGTTGTCCCACTCTCACACTGCCTGGCAGGAGGCTCCTCTCCGCAAGGAAAATCTCCCACCTCATCACCTGCAGAGAAGAACAGCAGGGAGAAAAGTTACCGACTGAAGCCAGCCGAGCGGCTGGTGCTGCTGCATCCTCCTCGCACTGCTGCATGAATGTAGTTTACATTTCAGGCTTCTTTGTGCCACTATGGGCATGTGAAAGACATTATGCCCATGTAGTCATCTATATCCTGCTGTTACAAGGGACTGCTTAGTGGCAGGGTGGAGCAGAGCCATCCCTGAAATACCCATTATTTATAGTATTTCCCAGTGTTCAGCCATGTCCTACATGAGAAACGCTACAAAAAAAAAACCCAGTGTGGTGAAAGCGAGGGCTTGGGAATGGTGCATACTTCAAACACCGTGATCCAACGATACACCCTGTACAGCATAGCCAAGCGCTCAATACTGGCACTACAACATGGCCCCAGAACTGCCCAGATACAGCTGTTAGACCACAGCTGCATGAGGAGCCCCTGGCTTCGTCACAAGGCAGTGCCACCGCAGCAGCCTGCGAGGCGGACCGAGAGCTCCAGCCCCTCTGCAAGCTTTATGCTTCTGCTCAGAAGGGCAACGCTGTGGAGCGCAGGTACGTGTGGCCGGGCAGCAGCCCACCGTCAAGCCGGTCTGCAGCAGGGATGGGGTTTCTCTGCGGAGTTTCATCTCACACCCAGAGAAGGCAAAGGAGGAAGAATCCGTCATGGTTAAGGGCCACAAGGGATGGCCAGGAGGGTGGCCAACATCTTCCAGCGTCAACTGTGAAGTCTGAAGCATTGCAGCCCTCCAGAGATGTTGCAAGCACCAACAGAGAGCAGTTTGGAAAACTAAAGTGCTGCATTTTCAAAGTAAATACATATACTAAGTAATATTCCTATTTACAGAGAGATGCAATTTGGGACATATTAAAGGGTTTTAAAAGTGACACGTTACGGTAATGGAGCAGCAAACTGCACAAAATCAAATTCACCAGGGGGAAAACAAGATCAGCACTAACAATAATTAGGAATAATCATTCCATAGAGCAAAGCCTGCAGGAGGAAAACAGGATTGTCACTGCGGCTCCAGGATACACACACACACACACACGTATATATGCATGTGTGTGAGAGACATTTTCCTGTTGACCCAACGCCCTAATGCAGGGCATCTCTCTCCAGCTCCCATATGGGTCACCACAGGCTTTCACAAGGCCTTAGTGAGACAAACCTGCAAAAAGAAAATACCAAATCTGGCTCTCGCAGACCCTTTGTGACTGTGCCTTAAAGGGCAAATGTGCCTTTTATCTCTGTTTGGCCTTTTGTTGCCAGGTAATGCTCCAAAAATGCAATCCTCGTCTACTATGATGGATTGTGGGGGTTTTTCTCCTTTTTTTAAAAAAAGAGAGACCAGAACTGGTCCCTACTCCCATGGCTGGGGAAAACAGAGAAAAGGGGAATCTCAAGGAAATATGGGAAACAAATGTGGTACCCTCCCCTCCTGGCCCAGCTTCGGGGTGCTCGGGCTGGGTCAGCTGCGGAAGGTGGCTGCTTAAAAATAATCCTGTGTCAGCAGAACGGGACAGCGTGGAGGATGCAGGGAGAGGAAAACAAGTCAGGCATCCCACGGAGCACGCGTTGCCACTAATTTTTGCCCATTTTCCTTAAAGTAGAGAAATCAGAACAGTCTGCCAGGCTGAGTGGCAAAGGCCTTGAATAACTTTTTTGCCATATTTTGGTCCCCAGCACGCCTCGTTGTTGCAGTTTATCACGGACCTACCCAGGGCTACCGGCTTAGCAGGGCTGTAGCAATATTTGCTGTTGACATCTCTACTCCGTTCCCTCCACAATGCACTGAAGTAACAGCTGGTACCTCCCACGTGGATCCCGATCCCAGGAAAAATCCCAGGAGTTTGCTTACTTTGGGGATTTGGAACAGAAACACGTGAGCAACTCCTCGTCCTCCTCCAACTTGCCACCCTCTGGCAGGGGCGTCTCTTTACTGAGGTTCACACTCCCACGCTCGAGCCGGCCGCTGGAGCCCGCGGTATCAGACCTGGGCTGGTTAATGCACCTCCCCGGAGACGGCGAGCACTTAGGCTTTAAAAGGCTCAGCTGATGGCTTTGCGGGACGCTCTGCTGCGCCGCTCGCGAGGGACCGCAGCGCCAGGA